GCAATTTTTTTTATACAACTGAAACAGTGGTGTTTTCCCCTAGGCTTAGGAAAACAGGAAAAACTTGGAGGGTCTAGCTGAACATTTTTACATTTTCTCTTTGGCTTGGAGACAAATATTTTCAAGAGTGCAACATCAAGACAAGCATTAACTCTACTCTGCTGATTGATACAAAATATGATGAAAAAAACATTGTATTTTTTAAATTAATTAATTTATTTTTGTTACAGATATTTCTCCTTTTCCCCCGATTCCCTTCATCTCCTCCCTCCCCACCCTGTACCCACCTTTGTTGTTCATGTCCATTGTTCATACATACATGCACATAAGTTCTGTGGTTTATCTCCCCCACTCACCCCCTCTTCTGGGGATTGTCAGTCTGTACCCCACTTCCACGTCCCTGGGACTACCCCGTTCCTCAGACTTCATTATATTCCACAAATAAGTGAGATCATGTGATATTTGTCTTTCTCTGCTTGGCTTGTTTCGCTGAAGATGATACTTTCCAGGTCCCTCCATGTCGTCTCAAAGAAGAGATCTTTCTTTCTTACAGCTGCATAGTACTCCATTGCGTATATGTACCACTGCTTTTTATCCATTCGTCTACTGATGGACATTTGGGCTGTTTCCAGATCTTAGCTATTGTAAATAGTGCTGCTATGAACATGGGGGTACATATATTCTTTCTGATCGGTGTTTCAGGCTTCTTAGGGTATATTCCTAAAAGTGGGATCACTGGGTCAAATGAAATTTCAATTTTTTGGTATAACACCATATTGTTTTCCATAGTGGGTGCACCAGTCTGCATTTCCACCAGCACTGTACTAGAGTTCCCTTTTCTCCACACTCTCACCAACACTTACTGTTCAAAGATTTGTTGATAGTGGTCATTCTGACAGGTGTGAGGTGATACCTCATTGTTGTTTTAATTTGCATCTCTCTGATGATTAGTGATGTTGAGCATTTCTTCATATGTCTCTTGGCCATTTGTATGTCCTGTTTGGAGAGGTGTCTATTTAGTTCTGCTGCCCATTTTTTAATTGGTTTCTTTGTCTTCCATTTGTTGAGCTGTATGAGCACTCTATATATATTGGAAATTAACCCCTTATCTATATATCATTGGCAAATATGCTCTCCCATAGAGTGAATTGCATTTCCATTTTGGTGGTTGTTTCTTTTGCAGTGATAATGCTTTTGAGTTTGATATAGTCCCATGTGTTCATTTTCTCCTTTGTTTCTGTTGCCTTGGGTGATGTATCAGTGAAAATTCTGCTGCGTATGATGTCTGAAATTTTGTTGCCTACATTGTCTTCTAGGATTTTTATGGATTCATGAGTCACATTCGAGTCTTTTATCCATTTTGAGTTTATTCTTTTGTAGAGTGTAAGTTGATGGTCTAGTTTCATTTTTTTGCATGTAGCTGTCCAATTTTCCCAACATCATTTATTAAAGAGGCTGTCTTTACTCCACTGTATGCTCTTGCCCCCTTTGTCAAATATTAATTTTCATATTGCCTTGGGTTCATTTCCGGGTTCTCTGTTCTGTTCCACTGGTCTATATGTCTGTTTTTGTGCCAGTACCAGGCTGTTTTGATTACAGTGGCTTTGTAGTATAACCTGAAATCTGGTAATGTGATCCCTCCAACTTTGTTCTTCTTTTTGAAGATTGCTGTGGCTATTTGAGGTCTTTTTGGTTCCATATGAACTTTTAAAGTATTTGTTCTAGGTCTGTGAAGTATGTCGTTGGTATTTTGATGGGGATTGCATTGAATCTATAGATTGTTTTGGGTAGTATGGACATTTTAATGATGTTGATTATTCCAATCCATGAACAAGTTACGTGCTTCCACTTTTTAATATCTTCTTCCATTTCTTTTTTCAATGACCTGTAGTTTTCAGTGAATAGGTCCTTTATTTCTTTGGTTAAGTTTATTCCTAGGTATCTTAATTTTTTTGCTGCGATGGTAAATGGGATTGTTTTTTTAGTTTCTCTTTCTTGAGTTCATCATTGGTGTATAAGAAAGTCATCAATTTCTTGACGTTAATTTTATATCCTGCTATGTTGCCAAGTTCATTTATTAAGTCTAGTAATTTTTTGATGAGCCTGGGTGGGCCCACATTAAACACCACTGTCAAGTCTTATTTTCCAGGGTAGATTTTCAAGCCCAGGAAAGGTTATCCTCTAGCTTTTTTCCTGGTGGATAGTAGTCTCAGTTAGTCAGTGCCTTGGAATGTAGCCCTGGTGTTCTGCCAAAGAGGATTTCCAGAGGGTGGGATAGATGCTGGTTGTTAATGAGCCTCAGTTTTTATTTATTTGCCTCATCTGGGAAAGGCTGAATCTCTGGGGGGGGGGGGTGCTGCTTTTCCCCACAGTTAAGGGAAGGAGCACACTGGCCACTGTCCTTTGTGGCCACAACTCAGCAAAATCTGAGTGCCCTCCAAAATCCCGGTGTCCCCACAGAGTTCCAGCCCAGTCTGCCCTCCCTCTGCTGTAGCCCCCAGGTGAGTGGCTATTGCTATTTTAGTGCTCTGTCCTGGCTCTCTGGGCTGTGGAGCGGGCTTGGTCTTTATTCCCCAGGGCGCTGCACACAACTAAGACTGCTGCTGTCCGTGGGCTCCCAGCCTGCCACCGTCTCGTGCCTCCATAGATCCTACCAATGTTCCTGGTTATATGGTCCTGTCCTGCTGCTTTTCTGTTGCTTTTTTCTGAGGATTTGTCTTTATTTTACTTGTAATTCCCTTTTGGTCCTGGGAGATAATCTGAGTGGTTTCTATTCTCTCTGCCTCCTTTTTCACATCCTCTAAGTCTATCTTGTGCACAGGTGGGTCACACAGACCTTTCTGGTGCCACCACACCCTGCAGGTCCCACGGGTATCTGGATCACATCGTCCCTCTGGAGACCAGGGTCTATGCCTATATTATGGGCTGCTGGGTTGCACAGGCCTCTCTGGTGCTTCAGCACCCCACAGGTCCCACAGGTTATTGGATGGCACAGTCCCTGCTGGGTCATGCAGGCCTCTCTGGTGCTTCAGCACCCACAGATCCCACGGGTTATTGGATGGCACAGTCCCTGCTGGGTCGTGCAGGCCTCTCTGGTGCTTTAGTACCCCGCAGGTCCCATGGGTTATTGGATGGCACAGTCCCTGTTGGGTTGTGCAGGCCTCTCTGGTGCTTCAGCACCCCACAGGCCCCGTGGGTAACTAGATCACACAGTCCCTGCTGGGTGGCACAGGCTTCTCTGGTGCCCCTGCACCTTGCAGTTCCCATGGGTGGGCAGCTGGATCCCACCAGTCTCTCTCTGGCTCGGGCTTCCCACTGCTCTTGTGGGCTGCTGGACCGCTCAGACCTCTGTGGAGCCCCAGGTCCCTCTGCTGGTGGCTGGGGAGTGCTACTGCCCCATGGGGCTCAACTCCTGCTCAGCTTTTGCTGTAGATTTTGGGGATGGGTCTCATCTGCTGGTCTGTGCTTCTGTTGCCTGGGGATGGATTCTGCTCTCCAGCCTCTGTTGCTGGGGGTATATCTCAACTCTGATCGGGCTGTTACTATGGGGGATGGTGCTGGGCTCTGGGCTGTTTGCGGCTTCTGTGACTGGCACCTTGGGAGCTGCACTAACGTGCACCGGTCTGTGTTGACGCAGATTGTCCACTGGTCCAATGGTGCCAGGTGCACTGTTGAGCTCAGGTTGCTGGGCCCTGGCCGCTCCCACTGCCTCCTCCCAGGGAAGACCCGGGATCTTCCAAAATGGTGGGACCTTAACACGGAGCAGGGATAAGGGCCCTGCAGGGCTGCTTACCATGGTAGCCGGATGCTCCGTCCACAGCACAGGAACCTTCTGCTCTGTGTCTCTGCACTGCACGGGTTTGGTCGTCCACCTTCGCGTCCACTCACACTCTCTCACACACTCGCTCTCCCTCCAGTCCTGCCCGCTGCCATCTTCCTCACTTGTTGAAAAAAAAAATTTTTAATTGAGACAGAAGGAACTTGTTTTTAGCACAACCAATGTTATATATACCACAGAAGTCTTAACTGTTAAGCCATATCCACTGTAGCTTAGAAAAGAGAACCAGTACATTGCTTAGTAGGACTGGAAGGACTTCTACATGACCTCATCATACAGTTCACTTCAACATTAGGACTCGTTTCTCCATAAATACGAGACATCTAATCAATGCTTTCTAGCGCTCTTTAACTACAGAAATAAGAACATACATAATAAAACAGGCATCGAAATATTCACATTCATGGGAAAACATCAGCCTGCCTTGGACCAGAAGAGAACATTGCATCATATGAAGTCAGGTGGGAACAGTTGCTGGCTACACATCCGGTTGCAGAGCAGAGCCTGTCCCCTCCTTGCCAAAAGGCAGATAAAGCACTTAAATTACTGGTCTATTTTTAACATAATGATTAATCAAATGGAAAGCAAAAATATTGCTACCACTCAAGTAGTAGAAATAAAATGATCATACAGAAGCTTTGTATAGAATGCAAGTTGTCTACTCCATGCGAAGGGAGGGATGGAGTGAGGGAGGAAGGACACTTCTGCCCAAGTTCAACACACAAAAACAGGGAAAACGCATAGAGCTACCCAAGAGCCAACCTATTCTGGAGCAACTGGGCTTACACTGGTTATTTCAAAGCCATAATACTGTTTGTTTCACTGGCACCAATGTTAAGGAAAAACATCTGAGTGAAAATTGAACTGCTGTCAGAGACTTTACCTTAAAATTTCATATTGCCCTGGCCAGTTTGGCTCAGAGGTTAGAGCGTCGGCCTGCGGTCCGGAGAGACCCGGGTTCGGTTCCCGCTAAGGGCACGTACTTCGGTTGCAGTTTGTCCCCGGCCCTGGTTGGTCGTGCGGGTGGCAGCCACTCAATGTGTCCCTTCACGTCGATGTTTCTCTCTCTCTTTCTCTCCCTTCCTCTCTCTCCCTCCCACTCTACCTGTACAAAAAATGGAAAAATATCCTCGGGTGAGGATAAAAAAAAAAAAAAATTTCATATTAATATTTCCAGCGTTTCTCCAAAGAAATGTACACATTTTCCCATCTTAGTGTCCTGAAGGCCTTGGACTTGATGGTTTGGTCACATGACTCACTCTGTAAGGTAGAACCGATCCAGTTTTACGACTAGACACAAGTTTGACATGAATGTCCAAATAGTTTCTTCCTTGCAGAAGGAGGAGATGAAAGGGAACCAACTACCCTATTATTTTTGCTGGCAATGCTGGATCCATCGCTGTCAGTACTTTTCACAAGATGCTCTGTATGCACTTAACTGTTTTCACTTTTTCTTCCGTCAGTGTTGAGCTGACAATTCTTCATTGCTACACTTCAACTAAACAGTACAGTAAGTTCTGCAGGGATGGATCCAATATCTCTACCTTTATTTACCAATATCACGGAAATAAATTCTAGTTGAATCTACATGTTTAAATCCATCAGCTAAAAACATATTATATATTGTAAAGATGGCAGTACTTAGTACAGTATTCTAAACTGTTTTCATGTCATGATCACATTTGTTATACCTGAAATTGAATTTATGCACATTGGAGATTACTAGCAATGGTTGCTCACTTTACAACTGACGGCTGCATTTAATTATTTCAGAATCATCTTCAAAGTAAACTTAAAGCTTGTCTTTGATTGGCTCGGTGTATACTCTTTTTTTTTTTGTATCCATATTTAAAATGAAGATTGACACAGAAAATACCCTTCTAATTTACAAGATTTTATTTTATTTTATTTTATTTTTTTTTATCCTCACCCGAGGACATTTTTCCATTTTTTGTTCAGGTAGAGTGGGAGGGAGAGAGAGGAACAGAGAGAGAGAGAGAAACATCAACGTGAAAGGGACACATCAAGTGGCTGCCACCCGCACGACCAACCAGGGCCGGGGACAAACTGCAACCGAGGTACATGCCCTTAGCGGGAACCGAACCCGGGTCTCTCCGGACCGCAGGCCGACGCTCTAACCACTGAGCCAAACCGGCCAGGGCTCATTTACAAGATTTTAAAAAATCAGTTTAAGATTCTTAGGGAAAGTGTCTGTTGTGAAGAATAAATAAAAAAAAAAATGCTGCAAAATTAACTTAATGGAAAAGGGACTTCGGACTGTCGGTTTCGAGTTCGTCAGGCTGTCAGTCCTGCTTGGGCTGTAGTTGCCGTTTCCACGCCTCATTCAAGTAAACTAGTCGTTTGTAGTTGATGATAAGAAGAATGAAGTTCAGCACATATGTGATGACGCAGATGATGCAAAACTCCTTCAGCACAAAATAGAATGTAGGCCAGGTACAAAGACCCTACCACAGACACGATGGAGGATGTCATGAGGATTCAAGCTGCAACTGCACTTGCTGTCATGCCTGCAAGAGAAAGAGACGCTTGGCTCAATAAGATCTTGACATTGGAAAGTTTCTGAGTTAAAAGGTAACCTTTTGTAATTTTCTGTCATTTGGAAATACTGGTCTTACTGCAAGACCCTGAAATTTGAGAACAAACACTCCAGCCTATTTTGTTAAGATTATGCACGTTGGCTTTGCATACAGGATACCAATTTTATAGCTGCAATGTTTCTGACTTGTCAATGTTCTAGATGACATATTACTTACTTCATAAACTAGCCTTAGTTATGACACATAAAGAAAATATACTGACTTGCAATCACATTATGCAATGAAGCTGATGTGTAAAAAGACAGCCCCACTTTTCTTCGAGAATAAAGGAAACTTGGGACCACAACCTTTTCTTCCAAGCAGGACATGTTTTCCCTATAGGCTCCCCATATGTGGCCACCCACATGACCCAGCCAGGGCCAAGGACAGACTGCAACCGAGGCACGTGCCCTTAGCAGGAACTGAACCCGGGTCTCTCTGGACTGCAGGCCAACGCTCTAACCGCTGAGCCAAACCGGCCAGGTCAATGTTTTAAGAAGGCTCACTATGACTAAGATGCTGTTGGATTACTTATGCCAGGGACAAGCAAATCTGACTGGCCACCTGCTTCTGTAAATAAAGATTTACTGGAAGCCACCACTCTCATTCATTAACATAATGCCCGTCACTGCTTTTGCTTTCACATTAGAATCCTGAGCTGAGTAACTGTGACAGTCAGCAAAGCCCCAGTTATTTTCTATCTGCCTCTTTACTAAAAATGCTTGTTGACCTCACCTATGCTACACATCTAAAACTTCAAAAATTATGCTACCACCTTAATTTCAACCTAACAAAGTTAGTTTCAAAATGATATGTACCAGTCTTTTTCTTAACTGTAAAATTGGGATAATAACCATGACTATGTCCTGCCGTTGTGCAGATTAAAAGAACTAATAGATAAAAACACTTAGAATGTTTATGTTTGCTTCATAAACACTAGCTACTAGTTAAATACTATTGTACCAAACTTGTCCTAATGTAATGAAACTGGTGGCTTGGGATAAAACTCTCAATGGAATTTAAAATGTGGTATAATTCTAGCCCTAGCCAGTTTGGCTCAGCAGTTAGAGCATCAGCCTGCGGGCCAGAGAGACCCGGATGCGGTTCCCGCTAAGGGCGCAGTTTGTCCCTGACCCTGGTTGGTCCTGCGGGTGGCAACAACTCAATCTGTCCCTTTCACGTCGATGTTTCTCTTTCTCCCTCTCCCTTTCTCTCTCTCTCTCTCTCCCACTCTATCAAAAAAATGGAAAAATGTCCTCAGGTGAGGATAAAAAAGAAAAAGAGAAAAAAATGTGCTATAATTCTAAATAGATGATTGTACAATCAAGCAATGGAATATTCTGCAGCTGTAAAAAAGAAATGTATTGCTATGGAAAGATTACCATGATATGTCAGTCAAGCAAAACAAAAAGCATGTAAAACAGTGTGTATAGCATTTGTCTTTTAAAAAAATTTTTTTTAATTTTTACAAAAATTTTATCGGTTTATTTTTTTTAATATTTTAAATATTTATTGTTGCATGTATTACAAATGTTCCTCATTTTTCCCCCATTGATGCCTTCCTCCCCACTCCCAATCCCCTCCTGCCTTTTACCACACTGTTGTCTGTGTCCATTGGTTATGCATATAAGTTCTTTGGTTTATTTCTTCCCACCCCCCAACCCCCTTCTCTTTGAGATTTGTCAGTCTAGCAATGAATTTGTTCTTCTTAATCCCTTTACCTTTTTCACCCATTCCCCCAACCCCCCTCCCATCTGGCAACCAACCAAATGTTCTCTGTATCTATGAAAATGTTTCTGTTCTGCCTGTTCATTTTGTTTGTAGATTCGATTGTCGATAGATATGTATTCATTGCCATTTTGTTTGTTCATATATTTTATCTTTTTCTTCAAAAAAACCCTTCAACATTTCATATAATAACGGTTTGATGGTGATGAACTCCTTGAGCTTTTTTTTGTCTGGGAAACTCTTTATATGGCCATCGATTCTAAATGACAGCCTTGCAGGATAGAGTAATCTTGGTTGTAGGTTCTTGCTTTTCATCACTCTGAATATTTCTTGCCACTCCCTTCTGGCCTGCAAAGTTTCTTTTGAGAAATCAGCTGACAGTCTTATGGGAACTCCACTGTAGGTAACCAACTGCTTTTCTCTCGCTGCTTTTAAGATTCTCTCTTTGTCTTGAACCTTTTGCATTTTGATAATGATGTATCTTGGTGTGGGCCTCTTGGGGTTCATCTTGTTTGGGACTCTTCTGTGCTTCCAGGACTTGTATGTCTGTTTCCTTCACCAAGTTAGAGAAGTTTTCTGCCATTATTGTTTCAAACAGGTTTTCAATTTCTTGTTCTCTCTCTTCTCCTTCTGGCACCCCCAAGATGTGAATATTGGCACGCTTGAAGTTGTCCCAGAGGCTCCTTACACTATCCTCATTTTTTTGGATTCTTTTTTCTTTTTGCTGTTCTGATTGGGCGTTTTTTGCTTCCTTATATTTAAAATCGATGGTTTGCTTCTTGGCTTTACCTACTCTACTATTGAATCTGTGTAAATTATTCTTTATTTCAGTTAGTGCCTCCTTCATTTCTGACTGTGCATCCATCATTTCTGACTGGTCCTTTTTATGCTCTTGAGGCCCTTACTAACATCACTGAGGTTCTCACTAAGTTCATTGAGCATCCTTATAAGCAGGAGACCCCAGGCTCAACCATTCAAAGACGACCACATCTCCTCAACCCAATGACCAACCACCGCCCAGCCCTGAGTTTAAAAATCCGGCTTGTACAGAAAAGTAGTCTGTACAAGCCGGCTGCTACTCTCTCCTTAGAGGTAGTCCGGCAGGCTAATTCCCAATAAACCTGCACTTCTGGAGACCCTGCACCACCTCGTTCTGCCTCGTTCTTCCATTAGTTACCTACAAGGGAGTTCCCACAAGACTGTCAGCTGATTTCTCAAAAGAAACTTTGCAGGCCAGAAGGGAGTGGCAAGAAATATTCAGAGTGATGAAAAGCAAGAACCTACAACCAAGATTACTCTCTTTTGCAAAGCTGTCATTTAGACTCAATGGACAGATAGTTTCCCAGACAAGGAAAAGCTAAAGAGTTCATCATCACCAAACCATTATTATATGAAATGTTGAAGAGTCTTCTTGAAGAATAAGATAAAAAATATGAACAAACAAAATGTCAATGAATACATATTTATCAACAATTGAATCTACAAACAAAATGAACAGGTAGAATAGAAACATTCTCATAGATACAGAGAACATTTTGTTGGTTGCCAGATGGGACGTGGGTTGGGGGAATGGGTGAAAAAGGCGAAGGGATTAAGAAATACAAATTGGTTGTTAGACTGACAAACCTCTAAGGGAAAGGGGATTGGGGGTGGGTGGGAAGAAATAAACCGAAGAACTTATATGTATATATGCATAACCAATGGACACGGACAACGGTGTGGGGAAAGGCAGGAGCGGGGCAGGAGTGGGGAGGAGGGGTCCATGGGGGAAAAATGAGAAACATTTGTAATACATTCAACAATAAAGATATGTTTAAAAAGCCCTGGCTGGTTTGGCTCAGCAGTTAGAGCTTCGTCCCATGGACCAGAGAGTCCCTGGTTTGGTTCCTGCTAAGGGCATGTACCTCAGTTGCAGTTTGTCTCCGACCCCATTTGGGGTCATGTGGGTGGCAGCCACTGGATGTGTCTCTCTCACATTGATGTTTCTCTCTCTCCCTCTATCTCTCCCCCCCACTCTATCTAAAGATAAAGGCAAAAATGTCCTCAGGTGAGGATAAAAAAAATATATATATATATATATGTTAAAAAAAAAAGACACTCAAACTTTAGAGATTGATTTTAGATCTTGTAATAATAACCATTAACCTCTAAAATACCTGTTCTAGTTGGTTGTTTTACTTGATAATTGTTGC